CTGAACTAAGGCCTTAGCAAAAGCTCCCGTCTTGCCCTTTCCTGTGGGTTAAAAGTGATGTTTTAAAACAAAACTATATTATTTCAATGCTTGCTCTTTGTACAAGAAGGGAAAAAACAGCATTATAAAAGTCTTTTTTTATGATCTTAAAAAAGACTGTTTTGCTCAGGTTTATAAAGAGACATTGTTACCATGTTTCATTACACAATATTGATAGCAACATATTATATGAAATCATCTTCATAAATTTTGTATTAAGATAGCAGTGTTGCTACCTGAAATTGATTCAAAATGTTTAAGACCCTAAATTACTTTTTAACACTGTTACATAATGTGGTGACTTATAGCGTCTATTTTACAAGAATTTGATGATGCAACATCAGTGTAATTGATTCATTTTCTCAATTAAATAAAGCTACTGTTTTTCTTTATAGGAATGCAACCATATAAAGACCATCGCGTTAGATGTATTATCTCCTCTCTCTGTCTCAGATATATTGCCTTAAAGGCTAGGCTCTGTTCCTGTGCTAATTCCACCAGAAAAGGCAATGCCACAGACGTATTTTTCAAATTCTGAACTGCCTTGCACTCAACTGTATTTATATTAGACGTATTTTTCACTGCTAAACTCTGTTATTTACCTTTTCCCAGATCACATTACTGTATGGGCACAGTCACCATAAAACACAGTCAAACAGAGTCAACCGGCAGTCACTGCCTCTGCTCCTGCACACAGTTCACGAGAAAGTGCAGCCCCGCATTTTACAGCACATTCAAAGTGGTACTGAGGTAGCCAGTATCAAAGGTTCGCATGGTGACCGCCTAGCTTCTTTCTGGGTCTGCCTTCCACAGAAGGCTTGGTGGCCAGAGCAAGGTTCAGAGGCACACAATAATCTTGTTAGGGCTGATGTATGGCCTACACCCCCCAACATATGAAATGTTGTTTATAACTAACTTGTCCGAGGCCACCGTCCTACTTGTACATTTCGCCTGCGTTGAGAGCTTTGTGTCTCACTAGTACTTGGGGACGGCGAACAAAACAACAATGGTTCCAGTCATACACTTTGTGAATCAGCCTCGAGAACCAGTGGCATTTTGATACACTAACTAGCGGCACCTCTTCCTTCTCCGGGCCACGGCTTCTCTCCCCCCTTTGCCAGCCATCATACCCAAGATTTAAAGCTAGTCGGACGGGGCAGTTTTGCCTCCTTCTCATTGAAGACCACCACTGGGTGTTTAAATGGGGAAGAATGACATCGTCTCTCACACAAGCATCAGGTCTTAGGGCGGCGATGGCGGAACATTTCTCATACATTTCTTTGCAAGGACGAGTAGGTGGCAATGAGCCAAGCCCCTCTTCCACCGAGCAGCATGACTTTGGAAGACAATGCAGGAGAAGTTGGCTCAAGGAGCTTCCATATTTAGTCACGGAAGTGCCCTGCCCTGCTTCTGCCTCTGTGGGGTCCATTACAGCTGCCGGTCAAACGGCCCAGCCCTCTCATGGTCCTCTGGGACCGTCAGCAATGGGAACCCACCTGTGTGACACAGACCCGTGGGCTTCGGCTTTCTCTTTTACTCCCTGGAATTATGGCTTTGCCCTGCAGCGCGTGTCGGAGAGATTTATGTGTGACCGAGGTCACAGCTTCCAATCTCTGCTGACAAATTTTCCCAATACATATTTACTGCCTTTTAAGCTGGTATTATTTCCTCTTAAATAAATAAGTAGGTAAACAGAAAAGTAAAACAAAATCAAATTGTTGGGATTTGAGGACGAACACAGTCCATCTTGTTGCGCGGCCGGCATCACCCTCTGGTCTCCCAGGTGGGGCCTCCTCTTCTCTAGCCTTCTTTTCAGTTTCAGGACTGGCACCTCCTTTGGCAAAGACTCTTTTCCAATTCGACGCCTTCCGCTGTAACCCTGGCTACACAGAAACATGGAGCAGGGGACGCGGGGACTTTCAAGTTCTGGAGGGAGAATTGGGACCTGAAGAATTTGGAAATGGAAGGGGCCTCACAGATGTTCCCGTTCAGTCTACTCATTTTGCCATCAGGGAAACTGAGGCTCAGAAAGTGCCAGGAGAAGTGTCCAAGATTGTCCGCAGAACCTGGTCAAGAAGAGCCTGCTGGCATGAGAGGCTGCTGGTGCCGGGGAAAAGCATGAGTGTTGAAGTCAGAAAGCCTGGGATTCCAGTCAGACGCCCATGGCCTGGGGAGCCGATTCCCTTCCCTCCTCTGCTCGGGAAAACGAAGGGAGGGACTGAGAACCCACGGAGCCCACAGCTGCTCAGCTTCCCATTCGGGCGCCGTGAGTTCTCACCTACCCTAGGCAGATGTGAGACCGGCATGCAGCCTCCTTGTGCCTGGTGTGGTGCTGATGACTACAATTTAGGGCCACCTACCTCCAAGCCACAGTTAGGGCTTTCAAAGACCGGGGAGCCAAATCTTAATGCTAGTCTTCAACTGAGAAAAACAAAAGCAAAAATCCTTTTCACATAACCAT